AAAGTACAGAAGCCCTGGATTTAACCAAAAATCATCATCATCATAACAAATATTGATGTGACCTGTGAGTGTTCTTTAATCACTTGATGTGATATGGGTGAGGCTAAGGGCTGCTCTCACCCTCAAATTGGCCTTCAGTTCTTCTCAGGGTACCTTAGTCCTACAGCCCCACACCTGGGCTTGTGAAGAGGTGTTGTCTTGACTCATGATCTCTCTCCTTACTGTCAGAAGTTGCCTCAAAGGCATCTGGACAGGAATCTGATGGTGTGCAACCCAACTCTCTCTAAACCTGACTCCTTCCAAACACACACAACCAAGAAATAGATGTTAACAGAGCCTAAGAGACCTGTGGAACACCATCAAGCATATCAACATACGCAAATTGGGAATCCCAGAAGAGAAGAGAAAGGGGCAGAAAGAATAGTTGAAGAAATAATGGCCCCCAAATTTCTAAACGTTGATGAAAGACATGAATCTACACATCCAAGAAGCTCAATGAACTCCAAGTAGGATAAATACAGAAATCTGCACCAAGACATATTATAACCAAACACACACAACCTCCTTGGTCCAGGCCTCCATCACCTGGCACTGATCTCCCACCTGAACATTCAGCAGTGAATAAGAGACAAGCATTACCTGGTGCAGCCCCACTCTGGACAAGGGGACAGATAATCTAGAATAAAGCACTGGAACTATAAAGTTCAAGTTTGTGGCAAGTGTTAGAAGCAATGAAGCAGTGATGTAATAATGACTGCATAGTGGTAGGTGGTCAGGGAAAGCCTCCCAAGGAAGTGCCTTTGGACCTAAAGGATGAGAAAGAGGCAGCTTCAGAAGAACCAGGGCTCCACAGGAAGAAGAAACTGCATGTGCAAAGGGCCTGGGGAAGGAGGAGTTTGATGTGAAGGAGAACCAGAGAGGAGGCCACCATGAGCGATGGGGACAACAAAGGAGATGAGGCTAGAAGTCTTGTTGGGACTGGGTTTCATTTGTGGGAATCTGGATTTTATTTTAGGTGGGGTGAGCAGTCATGGGAAGACTGTTCAGCAGGGCTGTGCCATGATCTGATTTCAGGGCTTTAAGTCCACTTTGGGCACTGTATGGAGAATGGAATATAGAAGTGAGGTGGGTTAACTTTTCCCCGATAGCCAACAATAATATCTTCCCTCCCACATTCTCTTGCACAAGGTCATCTTGCCACATGGCTAACTGAGAGAGGTGGGTCTATGTCCCCTCCCCTTGAATCTGGTGCCAGAAGTAACACAGTGTGACACTCAAAGCTGGGTCAGGAAAGGTAATGGAGCTTCTGCCTTGCTCATTTGTGAAGCCTTAGGTGGCTGTGTAAGAAGCCCAGCTACCCTGACTACTGACCTGCTAGGAGGAAACCCAATTCACACGGAGAGGCCTGTGTAGATGCCCTGGTCCACAGCCCCTACGGAGTTCCCAGCCCACACCCAACAATCAATTGCAAGACTTGTACGTGAAGATGCTTCCAGATGATTCCGGCCCCTCCTTTGTAGAGTCACCCCTAACCCTCGAAGTCTTTTCAGCTGAGGAGTAGAGACAATCAATGTCAGCTCTGCTCTGCCCAAATGTCTGACCCACAGCGTCAGTGAGCATCGTGAAATGGCTGTTTTACACCACTAAGTTTTGGGATGGTTTGTTAAACAGCAGCAGCAGCTGGAACTAGGGAGGTGGGGGTAGAGAACTGGGTGGAGGAAGGAAGCACCAGAGTGGCATCCAGGAAACTAAGCAAGAGGGGGTGTCATCAAAACGAGTGATGCCAGGGTTTGCACCAGGCTGGAGAAGTGGGAGAAAGAGAAGGGACATGTGCAAGGTGCATTTTGTAGGTAAACCCAAGAGAACTTGCTGTTTGAGATCATCAACGGAAGGTGGGTAAGAGGAGAGACTAGGGCCCGGGACTAAGCCAAGATATTCAGAGTTGGAGCCCAGGAAGGCAGCACAGAGCCCCCATTCCTTCCCGTCCGGGCCCAGACAACTGACTACATCTCCCAGCATCGCTCGCTCAGGCCGCGGGAAGGGAGAAAAAAAAAGTT